TGTTTTTTTAACACTGAATTATAAATTAAATTAAATTAAATTGAAGGAGAAAATCAAAACCTAATCCCAAATCAATAAATAGAACATTGCTTGTTTGTGACCAAGTGCACAGTCACATTTAATACAATCACAACAGCTGCTGTACAGAATGGAATTCTTCGTACACACTAAATCAAATTTTGAAAAAAACAATACCAATAAAAATGGTCGATTATTTCAAAATGACTTTCACTCTGCAAAGGAAATGAAATCATATTCTTCTCCCTCCCAATCAGCTATATGTTGAGTCTTGTAGATTCTGTAATGGAGGCAGAGGAGAGGAGATGGTTATAATTACAGTCCTAAATAATTATTGTCATTGATTTTCCTTTGTGTAGCAAGGTTGTATCATCTATTAATACTGTTTTTTCTCTTCCTTTAAAGTAAATAATTAGAGCAGGAGAGTTGCCTCTCTGAAGGATAAAAGAAAGTCAGATTTTCTTGGAATTAATCACCAGACAATTTGGATTGCTGATTTATAAGACCAAAAAAAAAAAAAAAAAAGTCTAATATGATGAGAAAAAGCTTTCAGAGATAACAAACTCCCAGGAAATAAAAATGCCATTTCATTAATTACACGGTAGCTGTGTCAGGGAGTCAATTTCAAAAGGAAGAGATGATCTGGGGCAATATTTACACAAAGGTTGACAATTTGAGAGGACTATTGTGTTTGAGTGTCATATCTTTCAGTAAAAATTGGATGAGAAACTTCAAAGAATGGTTGTCTTGTTGGGTTTGGAGATCTGACAAGCTTTTCTCAATGGATATTTGGAGTTCACCTACGGTGGGGGCAAGTTAGGGGCCGAATTCATCTGTGGTGTCACTCTATCAAAATGATGGAGTGACACTAGCAAGGAGTTTAGACACAAAAGCTGCAGAAATCTGCTTGCCAGTGTTTCAGCATCAAGAACAAGTCTCTCTGAGGTCTTCACACTTTAGTTGGTAGAGATATGACTAATCTTCTTCTGGGCTCACTCACCACCATAGGAATTCCATTAAAACTCTCCCTACTTGCGGTGTAAAGGGCATATGTTATTCTCTCCTTAATATGCATCTGTGGCTTTTAATAACATTATGAAGTGCTACATGTGAACACGGTGGTCTAATATTTAGCACAGGGGCTCGAGGTGTGGATGAGAGGATTTTACTCTCAGTTCTGTCACTGATTTACTGTCTGACCTTGGGCAAATGACTTGGGGTGAGTGTTGGCTCTCCTTACTCCGAGTGAATTAAGGTCATCACTATTAGTCAATGGGACTACTCACAGAATAAGCGTCTACTGAATCAAAGTAAGAGTAGCTCTATCTGGTCCTTCATCTCTGTCAAAGGAAGAATTAAACTAATTTATTTACCATTTCTTGGGTTTTCTGAGGGTGACTTTACAAAGCTTTGCAGAGTGTGTTGGAAGGAAGATGCCATGTAAGTGCAAAGATTCTTAATAGTGTTGCCACTGAGAGCAGATGCTAACAGAGCGGCTGTAATGTCAGAGGCTAGGCTATCTAGAGACCTGATTCAAACATTCACGCAAAACTTGAGCCACAAATCTGTTTTGGGGGTTAAAAAAATGTTGGGGTTTTTTTGTCTTAGATTTCAGCCATGAGAAAGATATTTCTCACCTGGGTAGAGCAAGGAATTCCTGAATATCTCATGCGAGAGCTTGTTCTAGCCTTAATTTTAATCAGAAAGGCACACATGGATTTGAGTATAGTTTAGATTAACACTCCACATACTCGATTCTTCTTTAAATCAAACTTTGGGCCATTGCCCATCATTCAGGCTGATCTCATTTATGAATGGATTGTCATGCTTTTCTCTAGTGGCAAGCCTGAAACAAGCAGTAACCCTCAAAAAGCTAAAATGACCTAAGCAAGTTTGAAACTAGTTTCAGTGCATTTGCATTGGTGTAAGTAGCTTGATTTTAAATCGGTTCAGTTACTTTGGTGCAACTTTTCTATCCAGACAAGGCCTGAAAGAAAGGAAAAGAAGGAGAAAGGTTTGTTTGCATGTGCACATTCACATGTATAGGTGGGGTGAATAAGAATTTAGCCTGGGATTTTCAAAGAATTTAAAGGAATGAGTTGCTCAAATCCCATTGAAATTGAAGGTATTTTCACACCTAGTTCTCTTAATTTCTTTGAAAAGTCCAGCCATTTAAACAGCACTTAAAATATTTTCCCCCTGAAAAGTAAATAAACAAATTCATTGGAAAGACTGAGAACAAATAAATATGCACAGAGAATGCATGAGCTTCAATTGGGTTCCCAAAAAATGGTTTGAAGTATTTTGCATTCAGAAGGTATGAGGGGATCAAAGAAGAGAAAGAGGAGCATGAGCTATAAGAATCAGTGTGAAAAACTATCAATGAAAAGAATCTCTTGAGTTGCACATGTTTTGGGTCAGGCCTTAAAAGATTCCTTTCTAAGAATTGCTCGCAGACAACAGAACATAATTGTTTAATAAGTTGCACATAATTTCTATTAATGTTACATGAGTAGAAGTGTAATGTAAGATGCAAATAATATGGTCCATTGACAGTCAGTGATTGTGTTCCAACAGAAAACGTAAGTATTTTAAAAAGGTAAATATTATAGAGGCATTGGAATATATATCAAATACCATATTACTATCAATAGGGTTATGTAAGTATTATTTCTGGGCTTAAATATTTGGTCAATATTCTAACTGAATGCAGTATCTGGGCAGAATTCATGACCACAGATACTTGGATGTCTTTTTACTACGTATTTCAGATTTTGAAATGTGAACGGAAAACAATGGGGGGAAAATTGAGAAGGTGTTAGTAGAGGGTCCCCTCCCATTTCATAGAACAAGCTACACGGCTTATGGAAAAATATTGGTTTATTCAAGTTTTTCAGAGCTAGGGAATGTGCCTTTTTTATTTTTCAACTGAATTTCCTTATATTTTCATAAAGAGATCGATATTTTTAAAAAGAAATTGACATCAGTGGGTTACTGTCCTCTTAAAAAATCTGGGCCAAATCCTGAGAAATACTGAGTGCCTGTAACTGCCAACAGTTTGGGGGAGTCAGGCTGAACACACAGTATAGCTTTTTTTGTTTAATTAGGCTATATCTACAGAGTAGTGTTGTTTTGGAATAACTGATGTTATTCCGAAATAGCATAGTGTTACACTACAAGCAAGGCTACACTACAAGCCTTTATTCTGAAATAATATCAAGCTGGAGGACTTCTTACTCCGACTCACGGTAACCCTCATTTCACGAGGAGTAAGGGAATCAAAGGAAGAATTCTCTTCCTTCGACTTTCTGCTGTGTAGACAGTGCCAAAAGCTGAATTAAGCTATTTCGACTTCAGCTACACAATTGACTTAGCAGAAGTTGCGTATTTTAATTTGACTTTAGCCCTGCTGTGTAGACATGCACTTAGTTATTTTTTGTATTTCTCTCAGCTTGGGAATGAAAATTGATGCATGAATTTCTGGTTTGCTTATAGTCAGTGCCTAATGTATTTCATTTTCTCATGCTCTAGCAGAATCCTGCAATGTCTGAATTGCAAATGCTGCATGAAAACATTTGTCTTTCACAATTGCTTCCACAAATATGACTCAGTAATGACTCTTTAACAGTTGGTAGGTTCTTTGAAACTCAATCAGTCTCAATAAAAGTAGTCAAAAAGGCCTAGAATCCTCCTCCCAATGAAATGAATGACATATCTCCCAGTGGTTTAAATAGGAAAAGATAGGGCCACAATTGGCTTCTTCCTCCAATACTTCAACTCTTTCTGAAGGCAATATTTTGTAATTCAAGTTTGGTTGATCTACCTGTTCGCAGCCACACTTTGAAACAATATTTTTTCTTACCCAACAGAGACATGCTGGAATCCTTAAAAAAAGAAGTGGTGAGCTAATGAAATTCCATTGGCATGAATTGGCGGAATGGCATTAACCCAAGGCAAAAGCAGAATCAGATTGGAGGCACTTTGGGTGCATCTGCACGGCACCCTTAGCTCAAAGTAAGCTACACAATTTGGGCTATGCAAATTGCATTGCTTATTTTGATTTTTTTTTTTTTTTTGCTGTATACACAGCACTTATTTTAAAATAAATCGCTATTCTGAAATGTCCCTTACTCCTCATGGAATGAGGTTTACAGGGACATTGGAATAGCGAGCCCATTATATTTTGAAATAACAGGCGTGCTCAAAAGACAAATAATAGCTATTTCGGTATCCCGTAATAGTGCTGCAGTGTAGATGTAGCCTTTTAGCATGAAGTGAGTTGAACACAGAGGATCCTATGACTGTCTCCATTTTGGATGATGAGTGTGGCAGGTGGTAAAGTGATGCTTTTGAAACACGTCAGCAAGACCTTTAAAGCTCTGATTGCTGAGGACATAACCAATCTATCCCTAGACATAATTTGTTCGAAATGGGATTTTTTATTTGTTTTTAGAACCTTGGAGTGGGCATTTTGGAACCTCCCAAGTCCCAGCTGCATTGCTAAAGACAATCAAGCTGCAGACACAAGCCACCGAAGAAAAGAAAAACATTGTAAAATCAAAGCAAAACAAAAGATCTCTCCAACCACCTGCATCGATCTATTTGAACACAGACACAGAGATGGTGGCTTTCAGTTTTGAAATGTATCTGCCAATACTAGGGTCCAATAAGGAATAAGGGATAGAAGCCTTTCATTCAATCTGACCGCCAATGGTTGGAGTTACTGGGGCTTTCACTGGAACGATCAAAGCTCTTGCATTTTAGAGGGTGATGGCCTTCACATGAGAAGCATCAGGGCTGCTTTTTGAATGATCAGGACAGTTACCTGGCTTGCTTTGGCATAATGCCAATGCAGATGTATCATAAATTCCCACACAGGGCTGTACAGCCCAATTATTGAGTGGTTCATTATTCCCAGGACATAAAGGTTCATCTTCTTCTCAAGTTTCCATACTGTCTCCTGATGGCCGTCTGATAGTTATTGTGACCCAGAGGCATAGAGATGACTAGCCTTTTCGCTCATGCTGTAGAGGCACATGGCTTTAGTTCTGAAGGGCCCAGGTTCAATCCCACCTGCTGATGACCCAGGTTCATCGGTTTTACATTATGATGACAAATCTGTGTATCCCATGACACTGGTGCGTTCCCATCCCTACCTATGCTGCTGGATAAGAAAGTGCTTCAGGTTAGCCCCTGAGAAATCAGACATGCCATCTTATCTGAGTCTGGAAGTGCTTATAAAAAACCGTGTTAGTGTATCATTGGGAACGATCAAACACTACGTGCACAAAAAAATTGTTTAGCGCAACAGAAATAAAAAAGTGACAATTTCATCACACAATTACTGTACACTGCTTTTTCTCAGGGTGTTTTTTTTTTCTTATCTTTTCCTTTTTTCACCTTCCCCCACCTTTTTTTTTTGTTTTGTTTTGTTTTTTTGGTCCACTGGAGATAAATCACCCGCAACGATATATATTTATATATATATTTAAAAAAAGAAAAAAAATATCAGCAGCAAGACTCTCTGGAAATAGATTCTGTTTGATGTAGCTAGTCTGTCTTTTCTGTTTTGCCCTCTTTCACAGCAGCCTCTGAAGTTTTCCGCAGGGGGGCTTTTTCCGAGTTGGCGTGTCCTTGGCCGGATTCTGCTGCTCCTCCGTTTTTGTGCGACGTGTGTTTTTCCAAGTAGTTCAGCATTTCACTGAGAACAGTTTGGAAAGTGCTGAGGGCAGCACATATTGCAGGCGTTCCAAAGCCGTGAGTGATCAAACTATAAATAGGAGAGAGACAGGGAGACAGGAAGGAAAGAAACATTGAAGAGTTTACTGTACATTGATTATCTTACAGTGAAATTCAAGACTTTTCTTCTAAAATATTTATTGCCTTTGGGGGAAAGAAATAAAAGAAAACCAGACTAGATGCAACTTCAAAGGGGTTTTTTTTTGCAATAGGAAGATCAAGTTTGAAACACCTTCAGCCAGCTTCTCAGCTGACGTAGCATTATTGGCTTCAATGGGGCTATGGCGATTCACACTAGCTGGAATTGCTGAGTTTGAATCACCGTAAGGTTAAAAACATCTTCTTGTGGCATATTAAATACATTTGATATAGTTTGCTGAGTCTTCCAGATGAGCCCATTAAAAACCAAGGACCTGACTGCTATGCACAGACATTATAAATGCTAAGTAGTTTTAGACAAGATGGTTTGTCCTAGTGTTATTGTAATCATGACAGACTTCAGTAGTCAGGAGCAAACTCTGGACCTGTGAAGCTTAGTCTGTGAGCTTCTACTGTACTATGTGAGATGACAGCCAGCTATCTCTTAGCTAAGGCTGTAGCAGACTCATTAATCTCTAGATGGCTTAGGCACCACCAGAGGGGGACAGTGTAGGCAAAT